CCATTAGGGGCTGCAATAAATGTAAAAATAATAATGATAATTAAAAGAATGGTAACGATGAGCAAGCGAATAGAAATGAGCACCAGGAGTCGCTCGACTGTATCGGGGGGCGCAGTCCATAGGACGTAGATAAGAAAAAACCTTTTGTTCCCTTAATACTTGTGATGGGAAATTAATATGAATTTTTTTTTTTTATTTAAAACAAATGACAATAAATACATCTAGTAAAAATTAAAAAGTAAACAGTTTACGTGAAATAACAATGTATTTTAAATGTAAAGTAGTTCTAAGCAATTGCCCAATTCACGGCAATTCCATTTAAAATTATATTATAAGAAAAAGCGCGCACATAACGAATATTGTTACACACTTAGCACACAAAAAAAAAGACTGAATAGAAAACAAAAAAAAGAAAAAGAAAAAAAAGCAAAATATCAACGTAAAGAGTACAGCGGTTCTCAACAATCGAATGGAAGGATAAGTGTGGAATGCCACATAAACAATACAGACAACAGCATACAGCACAACACACACATGCACTACGGCAATCAAGCCAAGCAGCTCAACACAGCATAAACTGAAGTCAGCGTCGTCGAGGGTGAGAACGTTGCAGCCTCGGACGTGTTACGTACAATATGCATGGCATTTCATACTACCCCCCTTGGCAATGGCGAGGCGATCTCAGCAAGGGACCATTGACAGGAAGGGGATGAGGTTATATTAGACACAGCAAGCCTCTAGTTGGGGCAGTCAGGCACTTTAAGGGGGTCAGGCGAACCAAGGAGATGGGACAGACCAAGAGGGGTACACGACGAGCCTTAGAGGGAAGCACACGATCTACTTTGCCTTTAATTTTGGTATCTTGAATAAAGCTCTTGATACAATCAGTGTTGGTCAATTCCGCGACGCACCTCCTTACCTATATCATTCTCACGTAACAAAGTGGTGTAGTGTCGAAGGGACTGTTGCAGAACAGTTGGAGGGGGTGCGGTGCGAGGAAGTGAAGAAGGGACTGCACTGCTGGTGTAGCACTGCAGCATAATGTGATGGGATGGCGCAAGGTGAAATGAGGTATTCGCTACGTGCACAAGCTGAAAAAGCAATCGCAGCAATACCTGTGCTAATATGTGAAACTAAACGATATGTTTGTCTTCTGCTCGCAGACTATTGAGCATTTCTAGAATCAGAAAGTTATGTGTTTATACATCGACAACCATTCTAAAGATTAAATTTTGAATAAAATTATAAGTAGTATGTACATTTTTTACTCATGCATGTTCATTTTAAAAACGCAATGAAATACATCGTATACTGTGTATTTTTTAGGGTTTGTAGCTAGGGCCTGATCCTCTAAGCGTATCGTATGAACGTGTGTATATACTGTGTGAACACGCCGGTATAGGGTTTATGGAGCTCTCTGATTGGTCAGAGAAGGTCTGTGTTTACTACATTGCAAACTTATAAAACGTATCACGTATCACGCAGTACACGAACTTGTGTTAAAGTAATACTCTAGCGCTTATAGTGCTTGTAGTACAAATTTTGTCTTTAGTTATTCACATAGGATTGTACCACTTGAGACATTGATTAATTCGTGGTATAATAAACAGAGAACCTTTCGTGTATCTATCGAGATGCTGTGTTCCTATAGGTATCAAGCACATATCGCGAATATTGGTTTCTGCTGTGCCCAACCAAGAGTTCTCGTTCTTCCCTCGGTGGCGCTGCTTCAAAATTGTGCACGTAGCGGATAGTGGGACAACGCAGAAATTGCAGGGTATAGTAGGACAAGAGGAGAAAATCATAACTGGTTAACACATTCGTCAAAAAATATCCTTGAAAAAGTTTTCTTATATTTATCTCTTAGCTAGATAAGACTCCCAAAATTGATTGTAGTAAACGTTCAAGGGAGAATGGAAAAAATGTTTTATCAAGCTGTCCAAGTACTCATTTGATGCATCTGTCTTAAACGAGGCATTTCGCCCATTTGAGATGTGACACTAAAGTTGACTATCAAGATGATATACCAAAAATAAAATTTTTTCCGTACGTTCAAACTAATTATACGTAAAAATATAACACTTCAAAACAAGTTTTATTTATTATATCATATAAATAGTTACTTCGCCATGAAATATAGCCTGTACTAGTATACCCTTATTTTCTGCAAACACCATGTACAAGTGGGACGAGGCTTATGATTGCTGTCCTACTACTGTATTCTTTTTTTCAAAAACTAAGTAGTAGTGGGACAAGTACTTGACAAGACCAAATTCTATTTTTAACGACTGTGATTTCATGCTTTTTACTGTAGTAATCGTGTAAGTGTCATCAGTCTAATCTTTAATAGTAAAATTAAACTTTAATATATTTGTAGGATTAGTAGTTAAGTGAATGAGAGCATTGTTACCTAGTAAATAGACATAATCTGAAACCTAACCTTAATGCAATCTGTATTAATCTATTCTACACTATGTAAAAAAATTAACTTTGCAGAAAATGACATATATTTTCAATAAGTAATTTTCATCATACTAATATTGAAAAAAAAACTGAACAAAATCAATACCTCGGAAAATTTTCAACAGAAAAATACAGGTATTAGTTTACTTACATTATATTTTCATTTGGTATTTCAGCCTTTAAAACTTGCTTCTTATCTCCACAGAAGAATCAAACAATTCTCCTTTAAAAAATATATTTTCTGTAACCAATCTTAATTTTAAGATCAAGAAGGAAGCAGCTA